GGAGCTATGACTCGTTGATGGCAAATGAGACCAGAGGAAAGTCTGCTGGAGATGCTTCTAGAAAAAGTTTTTAAACTAAGAAAAGGTTTAAAAAGATTCAGAGACAGACAGAGAAAAATATCTTTTTTCTTCTCTCTGAATGTTGGAGCATGAGAATGCGATGCCTGGGTTATTGTAGCCACTGTGACATGATCCAGCATCCATGATAAGCTAATGATAGTTGAAAACAAAGACCCTGAGTTCTTCATAGGTCAATGAGTTGCTGGATTAGTCAATTCCAGAGCTTCTCTTCTTCATACTGTCTTATGATGACTTGTTTCTGTTTAACCTATTAAGATAGAGGTATACACTTTTTTTTTGAGACAGAGGCATGTTGTCACCCAGGCTAGGGTGCAGTGACATGATCATAGCTCACTGAAACCTTGAAATCCTGGGCAATCCTCTCACCTCAGCCTCTCAAGTAGCTGGAACTAACTACAGGCCTTTGCCACCATGGTGGCTTTTTTTTTTTTTTTTTTGTAGAGAGGGGTCTTGCAATACTGTCCAAGCTGGTCTCAAATTCCTGGCCTCAAGCCATTTTCTTGCCTCAGCTTCCCAAAGCATTGGGATTACAGGTGTAAGCTACAGTGCCTGGCCTATTTTAACTTAATGTTAAAAAAGTTTTTGACACCAGAGTCTTATGTTACTGAGGCTGGACTTGATCTCCTGGGCTTAAGCAAACATGCCCTGTTGCTGGGATTTTAGGCACACACCACCTTGCCTGGATGTTTACTCTATTTGACATGGGTTTTCTGTTACTCGTAGGCAAAAATATTTGAACTGATAGAGGCTGAAGTTAATAGTGTAAAAAACTGAGGAATGTCCTAGAGGCTATGTATCAATTTTGTTTTAGTGAATTACCAGGAAATGTGTCAAGTAATGATTTGCTTTTATCTTTATATTTTATTTATTTTTATCTTTTTTGAGACAGAGTCTCACTTTGTCACCCTCAATAGAGCCATGGTGTCATCATAGCTCACAGCAACCTCTAACTCTTGGGCTCAAGAGATCCTCTTGCCTCAGGCTGGAACTACAGGGGCCTGCCATAGCACCCAGCTAGTTTTAGAGACAGGGTCTTGCTCTTGCTCAGGCTGGTCTCGAACTCCTGAGCTCAAGCAATCCACCCACCTTGGCCTCCCAGAGTACTAGGATTACAGGTGTGAGCCACCTCACCCAGCCTAATTTATATACATATATATATAAAATGTGCAGGATTTACTTTTCACCAGGCTGTTCTGGAAGGCTTCCTATGACATCAGAGTTATCTGGATCAACGATGGCCAGTTGTGCATACTCTGTTGTGTTTTCCCCATGCTGTGCCCAACTCAATATTATTACCACTGTAGTGATGAACACCAGTTCTGCCTAACATAGCATAGTAGTCTATTTCCAATTTTCTCAAAGCTGGGCAGTTGTTGGCAAGGATGACCAGTTTCACTTTGCTTTATCTGATCATCTTCAAAGTCTGCTTGTACCCAGCACATATTTTCCACTTTTCATAATGAACTGGAGCCTGCAGTTGACTGACTCCAGTACCGTTTTTGTCTTCTTTGCAGCCACCAACCAAGAACAGACGCCAAGATGGCTGGGGGGCAAGAAAGGAAGGAGTCCCACATGCCAAGGATTTAATTTTAAGAAAGCCACAATGGCTCAGCGCCTGTGGC